AATAATGCATAATTTCATTTGATAAACACGTTTAGATTGAATGGTAATTTATAATCAGTCACAAGAACGTTGAATCTGAATCACTTGAAAAAAACACGGGGGTGCTTAACTTTTTTCCAGGTGTATATTTAAATATTTGTTAAAGATATGCAAGTTCGTCGTTCACCTGAAAGATCACGAATAACAATTTTCACGTGCATATACAGCAGAACATTATATTATTACTTAGAGTTTACTTAAACTTCAGTAAAAGAACACATCCAGAAATTCAGCTAATCTGTTCTTTGTTCCGAAAGAACATTTATCAGTTTTAGATGAAACAGATTGTGTCCGAGAATAAATCTAGACACAAGGGCGTTAGCACCAATGACGTGTATCACATCTATTTAAATGTAAATTGTCTCGCTTTACTTTCTCTACACGTCTTGCTGTCCTTCGTTGAGTTATTGAACTTGTCTTTTCTGGCGAAATCATAATCGATGTTTACGTCCTGCTAATTAAACGACGACAAAGGTGTGACAAGCTTGCACAGTTCCAACGTAACACATATTGGGAAAATACTCAGAGCTGGTGTAATTAAGTATTGTTTTCAGCTTACCTAACAAAATAATTATATCAAAGCATCTTGCTTAGTGAGTATGTTTAAGGACGTAATCGTCTAAAACTTTTGTTCATTTTTACAAACCAAATTTTTTTGTACCTCCTACATACACTTTTGAAAACGGCTTATAGACAACGCAGAAACAACGAATGTTGATATGACAATTAAATATATATTAATTATATATATATATATACTTGAATTATAAAGAAAAACATTACAATTTTGTTTTCGAGGATAAAGTTCTCCGTAAGAAAGAAAAATAAACGAACGGTGGTCCGATCCTACGTCCCTGGTAGGTGTCGTTAACAAGATCCTCAAATACAGGAAATAAACCCATTTCTAATTCAGCTTATTCGTAAACCTTTTCGTCAAAAATAGCCTAATGAATTCGGTACGGTTGGTGATGTGTTCTACGTGACTTTATTGCTAAAGCAACAAAACCCACCACGGCCAACTTAGTAAGTTAGTATATTTTTATTACATTGGTTGTCAAGGTAAGTTATCGCAAGTCGTATATGTCATTCACTGATTACCTCTTTGTTGCGTGAAAAACTTTGTTTTTAAGCATGGAAATATTGGCTCGGTTGTGGATTGACCTTTTTCTGAATTAATGAGGTTTATTTAAAATTTCTATTACTAATATTTTTTTATCATTATATTAAGGACGTTCTGATGACGGATTGGTTAACTCATTAAATAGCCGATCTAAAATAGTAGTAATATTACGAGAAATATTACACAGATTGTTCTAGGATCTCGTTTGAAAGAAAACAACTCGTTATACATGCGACCTAGTAACAAGACTTTCAGTGAAACTGAAATTATTGTTTTATCAAAGTAATGTTTTGTCTTTTTTACATAAAACTACAAATAAAAAATTCTAAGACAGAGAAATAACACTACAAATAATTTTTAAGACATGGGAGGCACGTTTCAAAGAAAGCTAGAGGATACAGGAAACATGCCATAAAGAGTTTTCTAAGATAGAGGAATCATTTTACAAAGAATGTTGCAATGTTTTAAAATTGAAGAGGCACTTTACAAATTATGCTATAATTTATTAAGATGGAAGAGACATTTTATACAGAACATTCTAAAATGGAGGAATCACATTACAAAGAATGCTGTAATTCTTTTATTATAGAAGAGACATTTTACAGGGAATGTTCTAAAATGGAGGAATCACATTACAAAGAATGTTGTAATGTTTTAAATTTGAAGAGACATTTTACAGGGAATGTTCTAAAATGGAGGAATCACATTACAAAGAATGTTGTAATGTTTTAAATTTGAAGAGACACTTTACAAATAATGCTATAATCTATTAAGATGGAAGAGACATTTTATACAGAACATTCTAAACTGGAGGAATCACATTACAAAGAATGTTATAATTTTTTATTATAGAAGAGACATTTTACAGGGAATGTTCTCTGTAAAGCGCCTCTTTTATTTCAGACATTACAGCATTTTTTGTAATGCGATTAATCTATTTTAGAACATTCTCTGTAAAGCGCCTCTTTTATTTCAGACATTACAGCATTCTTTGTAATGCGATTCCTCCATTTTAGAATGTTCTAAAATAGATTAATCGCATTACAAAGAATGCTGTAATGTCTGAAATAAAAGAGGCGCTTTACAGAGAATGTTCTATGGATGAAGAATCATATTACAAAGAAACAACGTTACTGTTGATTCAGTTAAATAATGTTTTACAGATGAGCATTCATGTTACAATGGCTATTGAATAGTGGAGGAGTCAAGTTATGAAAAACGTCGTTCATTATAAGTGTTCTTAATGACCAAACATTCTGCTAACATGCTAAAGTACAACTTCCCATAATTAATCCTTATTTGGTTTGTTTTTCTAAACTCCTGAATTTATGACATTCTGAAAAATTCAAAATCAATCATCATAAATAGTACTATTTCTAGAAGACTTATTTGTCTTGTATAGTGAATAATGTGATAGTACATGGACGTATATTTTTTACTGGACTTTTTTGTATATTCCTCATATAGACGTAGTAAGTTTAACCCAACACGTGTAACATTGATGCACCCAACGTTGCTTTAACGAATGTGGGTGCTTGTTTATTAGCCCCGTGCAAAAAAAAGAAATTAAATAACTGGCTGAAGTTACGTATATCTTGGCATTCGATATAGTGGGATCTGTCTTGGTCATCGTTATACGGTTAAGATATAACTATACCGTTTTTATCTATTTTATTAAGCAAATACATAGAAAGAAAAAGGTTTATTTTTTCAATATTACCTCTCATTTTAGACCAAATAAAATAAAATTAATGAAGCTATTATAGGAGTTCAAAGGGTAGTTAAACAAAATTCACTTTCATGACTATAGTTTTATTATTATTTTTAAAAGTTTTTCTGTATGACTTGAAATAGATTTTCGATTTAAAAATATATTATCAAAGAAAAGTTTTTTGAAGATCCAGGGATAATTCTTGTATTATTATTCTACTTTACGCTAACTCTGGAACTCTCCGTTCTTGCTATTGTTTCGGGTGCTTTCATTTTGAAAAATCTCGCATGACCCCATAGGCCGGACATTACGTTACTAACTTTAACATTGTTGAAATCAGTAACGTGACACATGAAATTGACTTTTCGGAACGATTCACAAAATGCTAACATTTGTAAGACGAAAAAGATTTGTGCAGTGCAGTGGAACATCTTCGTCACGATCGCATGCATCATGTTCCCAGTGAATAAATATTGATGACTCAAACATTTTCTCTTTCCAAATCATTTGCTGTGAAGTTAAGTAGGCATATAGTTTGCAGAGCTTGGGCTTTAATCACTGAAAGTACTTAACATGAAGTACACCAAATTCCAATTGGCCTTCAAATTACTTGCTTTTAAGGACTAAAAGCAAGCCACTGATTCTTACTGTTATTTCATTAAACGTATATTCAGTTTGTAGTTTTATCCACATAGATATTCATGCAAGCCACAGAAACGAAGCAATCCGAGCGTACAAAGAAATTGTTCCTTTAAACATTCAACTAGCTTATTTTGACAAAAAAAAACTTCACAATATTTTTTTTCATTTCCCAAAGAAAATTTCAAAAACACATTTATGCTGAAAAGGTAATATGATTCAATCTTGCTTGGGAATTAAATTGTTTTCTTTAGAAAATATCTACTTCTCTGCGTGATTTTGTGCTTCTGAATGAAAGTTGCACAAGTAGTGCTCAGAAACAAACTGGGATTTTATTTCCTGTAGGTCAAACACGTGAAATTATAATCAACCAAAGCCTACACCAACACAACGTTCATTAAGTACGACTCATTTGTCTGTCTTATCTTGAGTTTTTATTATAATAATTCAAAAAAATAAGAAAGAAACATTACGAGCCTCATCGCGTACAACTACACAAACTATCGGGAAGTTTATACGTAGAAGCTGACCTTGAAAAGACAAAAAAAAAAAAAAAAGATCACAAGATGCCATCAGCCCAATGCAAGATGGATAAGAAAATATTGATACCAGCTTCACAATTACACTCGTTATGCGATTGATAATTTGGGCCTCCTATCATTATCTTCTTTATTGAAAATATTTTTACATTGGATGGATACTAACCTTTTAACAAGATCGTTAAACAGCTGCAATTTACTCATGTCCAGCGCCCTCTTTTTGTTTTCTGAAAATCCTTTGTAGAATGGAGAGTGATTAGGTGATTCATTAAAACGTAGGTCTAGCTATTAACAATTGATTAGATATCTTTTATTTAAAAAAGAGTCAGTAATAGTTATCATTTAAAAAACTAGAATTACGGTGACTACGTTAACCGTGTATTTAAATTCTGATATTTTGAGAATGAAAACTTTTTACTAATAATTGTTCAACTAAACCTTTAAAAAAATAATATAAAACATTTTATTTATTTACTTGTTTGTTCTGATGTTTAAGATCAACGGAATAATCACCAACACCGGACACGGAATAGTTTTCAAAGCTAATTCTTCAACTAAAGCATCAGCCGTCCACATAAACAGCGGGCCTTTGTCTTACGACTATCGAGTGGCTGAAGTACATCTCCATTTCGGGAGCACTGAGAAGTTTGGATCTGAACATACCGTTGCTGGTCAAACATTTCCTGCAGAGGTAAGAAGTGAATATATGTGATTTATTAGTGCAGAGATGCATACAAATAGTTCGTTTGAGAAGTATGTCCTACTGTATGCAAAGATTTACGTGATGTATCAATATTACAGCATATATGACATTATATCTTTTACACTGTGCGTTAATGTTCTTCAAAACCATGGCTTAATATATCTTTAAAGTTTTAAGATAATATTTAATATTATCCAAATACCATGGCTTAATATCTCTTTAAAGTTTTAAAATAATATTTAATATTATCCAAATACCATGACTTAATATCTCTTTAAAGTTTTAAAATAATATTTAATGTTATCCAAATACCATGACTTAATATCTCTTTAAAGTTTTAAAATAATATTTAATATTATCCAAATACCATGGCTTAATATCTCTAAAGTTTTAAAATAATATTTAATATTATCCAAATACCATGGCGTAATCTCTGTTCAACTTCGAAATGTAATATATAATATAATTGAAAGGCTGTATCTTAATCTCTTTCATCTTTTAAATGTAATATTTAGTATATTTCAAAGATTACAGCTTACTCTCTAATCAGCTTCTAAGTTCTCCTTTGTAAATTATGCCCATACATTTTGTCTTCTATGTGATGCAGACACACATAGATCAAATTTGTGTGCTGTTGCTGTGAGCTACATTATAACTCCGAATACAGTCTGTGTTCTACAAAGTTAAAAACTATTATTGTATATCATTCAAAGTTAGTATTTTGTTGCAAAAATAAACGGTACATCAGTGCCAATGTTGCCAGTGAGCTGAAGTCGCAAGCATATCTGTATAAGGTCGAGCGTGGCTCGTGATTAACGTGCCTAACCTGTGAATCTAACCTGTTGCCAGAAAACGCCCTCTGTACTTACGTCGCCGTGGGTTCGCTTTAAAAGTGTAGATCAAATCCCACTATTTGGTGGGATGAGAGCAACCCAAGAGTTGACAGTGGATGCATTCCTCTAGTCTATCAATTCATAGAGTTGACTATGGGCAGATCGCATTTTGTATAGCTATGGTAAAAAATTCTGAAACAGTAAACAAAAAAAAACTGAAGAGCAAATCAGTTCTAAGGTGGAGGCTTACTGCTTATTATGTTGCATAAGTAAGTGTTGTTGTCCACAATGGCTCAGTAGTTAGTCAGTGGGCTCATAACGCCAAAATCCAAGTTTCGATACCCGTGGTAGGCACAGTTCAGATAACCCATTGTGTAACCCTGTTCCTATTATGAACAAAGAAAAAACAAAAATATATGTGTGTAAAGGCATAAAGTAAATAACTCGGCGACTTTCTAACTGTACTGGATATGAAAATATAGGCAACGCAGAGACGGTACTTTACCAGACAACTCAGCAATTGTGAAGATTTGCGATTACTCTGAGAAAGCATTGAATGAAATATTCGAGAGTCACGTTGTAAAATAAGTGGATCGAATCTACAGAGATGAGCTAAGTGGTCGTTACAGTTAAGTGAAGCTGCTTTAATGAAACCACTGTTTAACAACAAAACAGCATTGAATTAGATGATTCATTTCGCTACCACACGAGGACGTGCTTAATAATGCTGAAATAACACAAATCGATTGATTACATGTTTCATTCACTTGCTTGTTTCAAACTTTCTCGATTGGCATTAGATAGATATAGGTTTTGGCTCGTTAGTATCTAGCACCTAAATCAATAAACTTAGATGTATAGGTATAATTTCAGTTATATCTAGTACCTAATTCAATAAACTTCGAAGTAAGTATAAATTCGTTAGTATTCAGTACTTAAATCGGGAACGTAGGTTGACCTGGAGCTAGATAACACAAAATATTTCCTGCATTATAAGCTTTGGGTACTTGACGAGAATGACAGTCAACACTTTAATGTCAATGGTGGGTAATAGAGTGCTGCTTATTGGCTTCATTCCCTTTTATTAGTAATTCTCAATTAGGGTAAGGGAGGGGAAGCAGCAAATTGTCTTAGTACCCTTGCCATAAATACAAAATACAAATACTTAACTCGTTTAAGGTGTTTAAATGTAAAACAGATCATTTTTACTGATAGTTTCCTTTTCTTTTCAAAAGTGCTTATTAAAAGCTATATTTATCGTTGACTAGTATGCTTACTATTATTTTGTTTATCTTCTACAACATATTTTAGGAGAGTTTGTTTGTAGTTAAGCGCAAAGCTACACAATGGGCTAATTTTGCTCTGCACACCACGGGTATCGAAACCCGGTTTCTAGCGTTCTAAGTCTACAGACATACCGCTGTGCCACTGGGGGGGCACTTTAGGAGAGACTGAATATTTTTACAATCGTCTTTATGTTTATTTCAGACGTGTTGTAACAGTAACAGCCATAGTTTTAATGACATATCTAAACGCGCTTGTTATAATGACGGTTACTTTATAATACACAAGTAATTTAGATTAAAATTATTTTTTAATTTTCAGTAATCCTTGATGACCTATATTTTAAGATCTCAATTATATATTTTCCTGTAGAAACATATACAAGTTTTAATACCTCCATAGCTTTAACAAATACATCTTTATTGCTATAAGCATTATTAACTTTTATATCTTATTCTTATTTACAATTTATAGGTTCAGATTTTAGGATACAACGCAGACCTTTACAAAAACATCTCCGAAGCAGTTACAAAATCTCAAGGTATTGTTGGAATCGCCCTTCTTATCCAGGTATGGAATTCGGTGCTTCTTTCATAGACAATAACGCTGTCATTTACGGGAATCTTCTTCATTGGAAAAATTAATTTCATAGGGTTTTCATAAAAAAAAGGTCGAAATATTTTAATACAGTATCTTAGAATTTTATGTACTTCCGTTTACCATCTGCAAGGTATGATACAGATTCGTATCTTGCTTTAGCGTTGAAACAACTATTACTTCTTACACAGAAAAAAACAAACACATAAAACCCATTGATACCAAGTGTTATTCATGCTTATAACATACTTGTTTCAATCCATTGCGCTTAACAATTTCATGCACCTGCTGATGGTTTGATCAAGCTCCCAACATCCCATTTCAACTCTTTTTGGTTATTCTCAATGTCATGTCTCCCATTTATTTTACCCAGACGTATTTCTTATATATATCTGTATAATGTGAAAAACTCTGTATCTGCACTTGTTTTTTTTTAATTAAACCTTTTCAACATTTATTTTAACCCTTGTTTTCTTCTTTCATCTTCATCTCTAAGAATTTTCGTTGGATTTTATCAATGCACGTTACAAGCGTACCCCTCCTCCAGTGACTTAGCAGTATCAGTGGAGGCTTATGACGCTAAACAAATAAACAAACAAAACATATGCTAATTGCACTATGGTTACTGAATAGAAATAATTTGTTTTCGATCAAAAATCCTAACAATATAATTATTTCTAAGAAATATTAACAGCAAATAAATTGAGAATCACTAGGAAAAAAAGTTAATTGAGATGTAATTTTGTTCATCTTCTGTTTTCGGTTTTCATACACTGAGTTTTTGTTTCAGTTTATTCTATGCAAAACTAGTTGCTCAACCACCAATACACTTAAAAGAAAGCATATGATTGAAGACGATGACGTTCCCGTTTTTTTTTTCTTTTTCTTTAAAGCATTAATGACATTTAATTAAAGAGACTCCATCCCGAAAGTCCACCGTGGCTCAGTGGTAAGTCACACCCCTAAAAAACTGGGTTTTGATACTCGTGGTGGGCACAACACAAATATTTCATCGTGTAGCTTTGTGCTTAACAACCAATTAATCGTGCCTAAATATTTTCATACAATCTTTAACTTTGGACCTCTTAATACATTTAAATTTTTTTTAGAATTGTACATTTGTAGCTATTATAATTATTTGCAGGTATTATAATTTGTATAATTATATGAATTAACAGCAAATAAAGGGTTAATGGGAAGAAAAACATGTTTCGACTTGTAGTATTTATATTTCAAGTAATGTTTTGTACTAAATTTCAAGCTACATTCCACCTCCAAGATAGCTCTATCAACATGATAGACGAAATAGATTAAGTACGATCACTTTCCACTTTCACTAATGTTTTTTAATCTATTTAAGTCAAAGAACGCACTGTAACTGGCTTTTCTCCTTCATGTGTAATAATAACTCTAGGAACTGTAATTTCTTATTTCTTACTTTATAAATAAGAAAGGTTTAAAATCAAAAATCATACTTTTTATTAGTATGCAGGTAAGTGTAAAAAAAGACGCTTTTAAGTATTCTCAACGTAAGAGCTGTAAAAAGAATTATGTCTGTATTTTAAAATTTATAAATTATATGAATTCTTTTTTTTATTGAAATATGATATAGAGAATAATATTCAAAACGATCGCCTCCTACAAAGAACACAAAAGCATGACCATATGAGAACAAATCCTGCAATACAGTCAGAAGCGGTATTTCCAAATTGTATATGTTCCAAAATTTTACATCAAGACAACGTATCGAGTTTTCCTAACTTGCTGAACAAATTTGGTTTACTGTTTCAATAAGGAAGAGTCATAATGTGTTGTATAATCCACAAATAAATAAATTGAGAAAAAAAGGTTCTTTTAATACTTGATTCGTTTAACCAAATTTTTCGAAAAGTGTGACTCCGGTCAACATTGAATTGGAAAATAGCGTGATCTAGAAAAATATAACACTACAGCTGCGTGAGAGTGAGAACTTGATTTTTAAAGGGTTAGTTGTAACTGAGACAGTTCTAAACTGAATTTGTGTGTGTATGTGTAAATCTTTTGTCATTAGAGATATTATTCTCCAAATAAAATATTTTCAAAGTACCGTGTTTAAAAAGAGCTACATAAGTATATTTAACACACTTACACAAACATATATAATACATATATATATATGTACAATAATGGAAATAAATATGTAAACACACATGCGGTACGATAACTAGACTGTGAATTTGATTATGGTGCAAAAGTTTATGATTCAAGTATACCAATGCTTTAGAAAAAACGTATGTACAAAAAATGTATGATATTCAATAAAAAATATCAAACACGGTAAATATAAGATGATAATTTTGAAAGTTATACCAATTTTTATCATATATTTTCTTCCATGTTCCATTCTTGCTAATTTCATGCCATAAGGTTTCGGATGTGTCAAACATTTCTGACTTCAATTGTTTTGTACCGTTATCATGCGTTACGGTCTTTAGGGAAAATCCGCCTAGCGGAAAAGTTAAAAAAAATTCTATTATACAATATAAAAAACGCACTTAACTCATAGTAACTTGAATTACACTCGGGTTCGAGACGTCCTACAAACAAAGATACTTTCTATTATCAGCAATTTGATAATTAATTCATCTACTCGCTCAAGAGTAGTCATTCAGGCCGCATGTTGGTCCGAAATTCAAAATCACAAACAGCAGTAGCTGAACAATAGGGTTCTCTGAATCACTAACAGCAGTAGCTGAACCATAGGGTTCTCTAAATCACTAACAGCAATAGCTGAAACATAGGGTTCTCTGAATCACTAACAGCAGTAGCTGAACCATAGGGTTCTCTAAATCACTAACAGCAATAGCTGAAACATAGGGTTCTCTGAATCACTAACAGCAGTAGCTGAACCATAGGGTTCTCTAAATCACTAACAGCAATAGCTGAAACATAGGGTTCTCTGAATCACTAACAGCAGTAGCTGAAACATAGGGTTCTCTGACCTGACCGTTCATGTAAACAAATAAACTATATTTTTTTCTAAATGTATTTCAAGGATTGAAATGAAACAAGATGGCAAAGGCCTGTTTATTAATTTACGATAAATCGTCTTGGCGCTTCATTTATGTAAATGAGCGCTAGATTCTTGGGCCTACAAATATATCAAATCATGATGTCCAAGACTTTTTGTACTAAACCTACACTGTAAAAAATGAAAAGCTACGAAAAGTCTCCATTATGTTGACTGAAAAAGTTTTCATATTATTTAGATGTTGAAACAAGTTATTCATACTTTTACAATTTTCGAAATATGATATGTTTATCAAATATTTGGTAATGAGCTTACTTTTAGTGTCATAATTGAACAATAGGGCCATTTGTCTTTTTTTTCGGGAACATTTTATCATAATTTACTGAACTCAGCTGTTAAATGAAAATTTATTTAGTTATTCGTGTAAATATATGTGCATTGCTTTAAATTTTGTAAAAGTTATATTTATAAATTACTTAAGAATAATTCAAAACATAATATGTTAAATGACCTCGGGTATAATTAAATATAAGCAAATGAATGTACAATTTACAAATAGACTTCTTGCATTAAAAGTCTTCACAATGTCAAACTAATTAAAGTAAACCTTTATTAAGAGATATTTTACAACCAAAGTACAAAATATATTTAGCTTTACGACCTAAGTTAAAAATTGGAAAACATCATTTATATATGAAAGGCATAATAATATAAAATAATTCAAATATAACGGACTAAAAGTAACTATGTATGAAGTATATTTTACACGAAAAACAGACATTTTTGATTGAAGTAAAAATAAGAGTTTTTTTGTGCCAAGCACGGAGTATACGAAAAAAAAAAGATTTGAATAAGTAAACAAAGATAATATTAGTACAGACAAAGTAATTTGCTTTAGAAACAGTAAGAAAAGACTTTGAAAGTAGATTAGCTTTGCTTAGTAGTAATAAAGCAACTGGAAGGAAAAGAGGTCTTGTAAAGAATTTTTAAGAGCCATAATGGCTTAATTTGTAATGTAGCCATTGAATCTAGTTCTATATTTAGTTCAATACAGTTCTAGAAATTAAAAAAAGAAATCTGATATTCCTACATTTAAATATGTGAAAGCCCCATAGTGGCACAACGGTATGTCTTCGGACTTATTCCACTAGAAACCGGGTTTCTATACCCGTGGTGGGCAGAGCACAGATAGCCCTTTGTGTAGCTTTGTGCTTAATAACAAACAATAACAATAAATATCTAGAAATCTTAATATTCTAAATGCTACTCATTAGCTTGTATATTATGAATGAAATTAATAAAACCATTTGAAATTTTAATCATTTTCATAAGGTTAATTTTATAAACGTTTTATAGATGGGTGTAGAAACCAATTTGGAGTTTCGACTACTGACAAGTCAACTGAATAAAGTCCTCTACAAGGGTAGGTTGTTTTTATTCGATTGTTATGGTAAATGAGCGTCAAGAGTCGGCGACTTTGATTTTTTGAATACGTTTATGATTGATTCCTCATATACTTTTCGTTACGATCAATAAAACTTAAAATCTATAAAAATACCTAGCTTTAGAGCTTCATATATAACAGGAATGACGATAATTTATTTCTTTTTTGATTATCGTTTTAGTCTTTGCTCAATTATTTTCGATCAAACTCTGTTTTCATATGGGACGAGTTTTTCACAAGTAAGAGTCAAAATATCTCTTAGATTTACGTAGTCAAAAACTGCATTTTTCTATTTGAGTCACTGTAAATGATTGCAAAAGATTGGCTCTGTGTTTCTAATGTTTTAAGTTAGACTAAGCAATTGAGTCGCTTTACTCGGTGCGTTTAGCGTTTTCACAATATCTTCTGTAATTTTGTTGAATTTCCATGGTATTCTCAAGAGCATCTGTAATGCATTGTAATGAAAACTGATACATGGAATGCCCTACATTCCTGACATATTTCGAGGTTTCTACAGTCCTACGCAGATGCGTTCTTTAAATAGTTAAATTCAATTTATGTACCTTTAAAATGGATTTACACTTTGATTTATTGATTAAACTTTCCATGACGACAAAGAATGACTCATCTAACTTTTAAATTGAATTATTTGGGTTGATAAAAGTATTGGGGAATAGCTTTTGGTGGTACGGAAACATATCCAAAATACATTAAATTATATAAGTTACAAATCTTAAGTTTCACACTAAGCCAGCATTTCATGTTAACGTCTTCTCAAGATAATTCGACTTCATGGAAGAATGAAGAAGTCAATATCTTTGACTGCTTAGAATTTGTTAACTTTAAGCTTTCTATATTAGAATAAAAATTTCAGACTTCAAACATTTGGAGAGTTTGTAATGTTGAAAAACTTTTTTTACAGAGGGTTGAGTACGTTATAATAATGATTTTAAATGTGCAATTCATAACGTAACGTGCCAAGCACAGTCTATATCAAGTCGCAAAGAAATGGCGTGTAAAAGAACTACATTTTGACATTGTTTGGCGTTTCAGGGATAGTGTGATGCCATCGAAAATTAATCGCTTTTTAGAAGGGTAGGTAACGGTTCCTACCGACGCAAAATATGTATTCATACATTCACATCATAAAGATGTAATCAGATCGTGGATTTAGAATTTCAAGGACGGAAACGTCCCTTGTACTTAATCGCATTGGAAGATAAAGGTAAGAATCCACGAACATACAGGTCAGTGGCAAAAGACGTCCATGTGTCCTAAGCAATAATACTCAGAACGCTGTAAATCACGTAAACACAGTATGCTTCTACAACATATTCAGGAAAGGAAGAGTAACTGTGGAAAATTGTATTAATGCTAATTAGCCAGAGGAAAATGGGTACACAGAACTTTGCGAAACTTTTTCAAAAATATTCCTGATCATCACTGAATACTGGACCAGAGGCAAGTTAGGGATCAGGAGAGTGGGTACAGAGGTCAAAGTGGACACTGCTGTCAGACCAATGTTTGGACCCTTTGTGCCACACAGAAATACCAGCTTTGTACGGAAACGATATGTGTTCACCAAGATAAAGCTTCTAGTCATACCTTCCGTTCATCTTTCGCATACCTCAAGCAGCATAAAGCTTCTAGTCATACCTTCCGTTCATCTTTCGCATACCTCAAGCAGCTGGAGAATGAAACAGGCAATTTCACACGAAAAAATCAGGTTATCGGACTCGGCGACGGTTGCTCAGATGAGTTCATAACGAGAATTTTGAACTTGCAAGATGAGAATATCCCTTGTACGTATTTGCATCGGAAGACAAATGAATATGGATCATTGTAGCGCCACAACCATCCAGAAAAATACCTGCAACAAAACGTACGCCAGCAATGGTAAGCAAAGTGCGACGGCTTGTAACAGGTAAGAATTCACTAACACAAAATTCAGTTACAAAAGATATCCACGTGTCCTAAGCAATAATACACAACATGAGCAAGAAGAATCTCCATCTGAAAAGCGAAAAAAGTCCGTGTACAACATATTCGTTCAATCGTCGCATACCTCACGTAGCTGGAGAATGAAACGGGTATTTATATAATTCCATATAAAACATACGGGTCAAATCCACCTATGGATACCTGTGCGATTGAACTGTTGAAACTGGTGTTGGAATGTCGTTTCATCGTACACGGCGGCTTATGAAACGTAATAAGGAAAAAGCAGTGTGCTTAGGATACGACAGCCTTACGGTGTAGCATTTTGCAATGAAACCTACGCTACGACGCTATTGTCAAGATACACGGGCGTCAGATATAGCATGATCGGATGTAGGAACGTGAACTGCAACGACGAGGTAAGGTTCCAAGGTACTCAGCCATCTGTAATATTAAACAAACACATCCCAGTTTCATTCTATATTTTGTATATCAAATTCCTCGTAATTATAAGAAACCTATAAGGATAATGGAGCTGTATTTTAAATGTTATATAACCGCCATGAGAATTTACAGAATTACTTAAGAAGTTAATATTGTTCACATCGAAACAGTTGTTGTTCTAGTAACTGATCATATAGCTAGCATCTCGACAACTACAATACCTGTCGTATCCCAGCCGGCCTAATGAGCCCTGGTAGTTGGCGAAAGACCTCGGCGGCACTGGATATAGCGGATGCACTGTGGTTAACATATTATTTCATTCTTATTGATTTATACTCATCAGTTTTTTTTTTATAATTGAAACTAATTTTGATTCAGAAGTCTAGTATTATTCGATATACAGTGAATATCCTACGAATTTGTTGCTGAAATTACTATATCACATTTAGTTCAATATTTCCTAAAGATGGCGACATTATCAATCCATGGTCGTTTAGATTTTATTTATACATATTCCTATTAAATAGTCCCCAGGTGGGACAGCGGCTTACAACGCTAAAATCAGGGGTTCCATTACCCTCGGTGGACACAGCAGGTAGCCCGATGTAGCCTTGCTGTAAGAAAATACACACACACTTATTCAATATATGTTTTAAAGATTTAATACAAGAGTTTTGTGAAGTACGAGAGGAAGTAATTTTAAATTCTTTATTTTTCAAAGCTGAAAGATGGCTAGGTGAATATTTATGAATAACCGAATAAAGTAGGAAATAGAGTTTGATATCAAATGTAACTTACACAGGGCAAATGTTTGATATCAAATGTAACTTACACAGGGCAAAAGTTTGATATCAAATGTAACTTACACAGGGCAAAAGTTTGATATCAAATGTAACTTACACATGGCAAAATGTACAAACTTAACCAAAGAATACAACAACAAATACTGAAAGATGCCTAGGTGAATATTTATGAATAACCGAATAAAGTAGGAAATAGAGTTTGATATCAAATGTAACTTAGACAGGGCAAAATGTACAAACTTAACCAAAGAATACAACAACAAATACACAGGCCTGCGGAGTTAAACTTCATAAAAGTTGTTTCGGTTTTACTAACGGATTTTCCATAATTCAGCCGCGCAAATTTTGAAAATAATACTCATTTTTTTCTATCACGTAAGGATATTTTACAAATCGGGAAGAAAAAACAACTCTTACTTAGATCAAATTATTATTACCACAATGAACATTTTTTTTTATTATTATGTTTATTAACAAAAATACAAACAAACTGAAGAAAAGGGAAAAACATTGATGTCAAACAGATATGCATTCTCATTCATCCCGATTTTTTATTATTTTTCATGAAATATACGTCTTTTAGTCTCAAAAACTACGTGTTGTGATCTTTCTTTTATGTACTACGTTATGACGTTTTGTGAGAACTCTGTACGTGATGGAGAAAAATTGATATCATTTTCGGATTCAGCGTACAGGAATTACCGTAGAACATGTAAAAATTTCAAGACAATAAAACAATCGCAAGCCTCTGATATCAAGACTAAGCCTTCTAAAATGTTTTTATGATTAGTTAATTCCTTACACCAGTTTTACTCGAATAAAATAAACAAATAAATTAAACAAATAAAATATAGAAAATACCAATGTCACTCTTTAATTCAGGGTTCGATTCCTTTGGTGGGTACAGCACAGATAGCCCATAGTGCAGCTTTTCATTAAAACAAGGTAACCTTAGACATCGTTAATAAGTTTTATTTGTTTAGATCGCTTTCGATTATCAAATGTTTCACATACGTAAATCAAGTCGTTTTGTTTTACGATCTTGATTACGTCAACAGCGTGTCAGAGAACCTCAGATTTCTTCGTAGGAATTGTGTTTAGGCTGTGAAAAAGAAATTCAAACGTTATTTCCTTTTGGAATATGTATTAAAACTTTGGCTGGTATTTAAGATGATAAAAGTAGCTGAACACTTAACAACTTAACTTCATTTTCAAGCTGTGTAAAAACACTAATCCCTCCCCAGTGACACAGCAGAATGTCTGCGGACATACAACGCTAGAAACCGGTTTTCGATACCCGTGATTGGCAAGAGCACAGATCGCCCATTCTGTAGCTTTGTGCTTAATTCTAAACGAAAAAATAACACTAATAATATTAGAGTAGAAACGAATTCTAAAATTTGCATAAAGCTCAAATTAAATTTTTATAGTTTGTTAAAAATGCATAATAGATACGTTGAAGTCAGTGATTTCAAAAGACAGAAACAGCAACTATCTCAATGTGGCCAAAAATCTTACAAATACAAATAGAATTAATAACCAATATACAATAGGTATGATGTTGACAATCATTGTATAACATCTGATTATAAATACATGACTAATTGGACGTTGTTTTTTTTTACCTTTTCACATAACGTGTATTTGTTTTGCTAATAAAAGTTTTGAGGAGAATAATGAAAGCTAGTCCATGTGTTTAAAAGGTTTCATAATAAAATATTTAAATAATAATAATAATAGAGTAAACGATAATTGTTATGATGCTATGCAACTCCTTATGTTTGTTTAATTAAG